ACTGGACTTATCACTGCCAGTGCTGAAGGCTTCCAACTCCTCCTGCAAGTCAGATATCTCAGATAAAGTCCCAGACAGCTTTTCTTTGAGGTCAATATATAACCAGAGTATAGCTGCGAACCTTATAGTGTTTAATTAATCATCTGTGATTTTTGAGGAAAAAAATACAGTCAATGACCCCTTTTTTTTTTTTTCCACACAAAAGATTTTATATGCAGAGACAGTAAATAATTTTATATTCTTTCTCCTCCAATGCCTTTGGTGGTCCTCATGAGCAGAGCTCATCCAGAGAGATTCTGTTTCCAGCAATAAGAGATGAACGTACCTTTGATACATTCACTATTTGGAGCACGCTTTATTGCCAGTCTGCACTGTGTATTTGCTTGCCAGGGAAGTTATAACACAACTGGGAGCACCAAAGTGACTGTTTTATGCACAACCAGGATTCAAGTGTGATTCCATTCCATTGGGCTACTAAGGAAAGAAAGGGAATGAAATACCTGCTGAAGTGGATAGCCAGAATTTCTTGTCTTATACAAGCCATTTATTTCTGTGTCATTTGTGGGGTATGTTTTGAAAGGATAAATATTTTTAAAACCAGTCAGTATTTTACTGCATTGTCATAACTTATTTAAAACCTCAAAGCAAATTTTTTACTCTATTACTTTATATATGTATATATACATATATAGAGAGAAGACAGCTGTGTATCATCTGTAAAAATATCACTCACTATTAGTTTCTTCTATTAAAATGCAACTTTATTACCTACTGTAATTATGAGAAATTTAGGCTGGTTCATATATTTTCCAGTGTATGGAGAATTACATCATATTATTTTTGCTAGTAGACAGCAATGCATTGTGCCTTTCTCATAGCTAAGTCTAAAATTATATACTAAGACAGTGATTCCATTACAGAATATAATTTTAAGATATTCTTCTAATTTTTTCATTAATGGCTTGAATGGTCACAGCAAATTCCAGATGATGTGTGGTAGTAACTGCTTTTCTGGTTCAGATATGAACCATCACTTAGCCTAAGAATTTCTTTCAGCTCGGCTGTGATTATATATACAGAAGCAGAGAAAATAGTACTTCTATTAGAATTAGTGACAAGCTAGCATAAGTCATTGGGACACATCAGCGAAGATCACTCATATGAGAAAAAGCTTTCTGGATTGAGTCCTAAATCTTTAGGATGAAATTCTAGCCCCACTGAAGAACTGATCTAAATTCTACCTGTGCGTACAAAGCAGCTTCTCTCAAAGCAGGTATTTCTATGAACCTACTTCATTGTTTAAAAGTCTATTTGCATTTTCTAAACTCCACGGAGCAGACTGAAGAGAAGAAATATTTTTAAAATTTAAACTACTGAACTTGAAAAGTTTTCTGGATCTCATGCAAAGGGAAGTTAATATAAATAAAACAAGACTTCAGTACCTCTGAATTTTTTATTATAATAAAACAATTTTCACTGTGTTCACAAACCTGAGGCAAAATATTACTCTCAGTGATGTAAATAGGAATCTTTTCAGTATGCATAAAAGGTACCAGCCAAGTCCTAAATTCATGTTTTTATTAGAGAAAACTGATCAAAAAAGCTGTTTTTAAACATTATTGGGTTAGATAGCAACATCACGCATTCCCATCTGATAATCTAAAGTTATTTCTGAGAGTTCTGTCTCCCATGCTAGCATTGCAGAAGTATCCGCCAAAAATTCTCAATGTTTTTAATTTAAAAAATGCCTGAAAATGCATTTTACTGAATTTGATGCTGTCACTTCAGGAGCAACAATGTTCAGAGTGGGCTGCATTCATGCTTGATCAGTGAGAGATAAGAGTGTAACCAGGGGGAGGTGGAAGACAGGCAGATTTTGGGTCTGAGAGCAACAGGAACAGTATTTCTCCAGGACACGTCCCAGGGAGATGGAAGAGGCTAACAGACATTTGAATGAGCAAGGGATTGGACTGTAGACCCAAGCTGAATAGCCTGCTTAGTATCCAGAGAGGTGTTTGACTGCGGCTCTAACAATTTACTAGACCCTTAATTACTCGAATAATTAGTAGGTGATCAATTTGATGAATTTGGTCCATCTGAAGTCAAGGCACTCTACTTTATTTATTTATTTATTTATTTATGGAATTAAACTGTGTTGTGATAGATTTTTCCACTTTGCGTTTGTAACTCATAGCATTCCATTTAACATAGAGAGGCAAAAGTTATGTTAAAGCAAATCAAGTATAGCTCTGCCTTCCTTTTCCACCTTTTCAGCTATGGAGAAATATATTGCTAATCAACATGAAATGCAATTTTGACTGCATGAAAAGTACTTTTGCAACTTTAGGCAATTATAGCAAGTCTATTGAAAAAATTTCACTCTTGTGGTACTATCAAAATGCGGTATTTTTCAAATTACACACTGGATACAAACACTGTATTGAACAGACTTTTTCCACTACCTTGGGATGGACTCTTATGCCCTTATCTCTGCTGAATAGGTATTTCTTGAAGAGCAAAGCTATTGACTTCTGAGGTGCTATTTGCAGTATCAAGTTTTAAGAAACTCAAAAACTCATCCTGAAGCTATTTTCTCCCCTTGGTTTCAGACAGTTATTAGACAGAACTGAGAAGGGGCCCAGGATCTTAACACCCAGACCAGCACCCAGAGCTCCCTCAGCTTCTGCCTTTGCTAATTCAGAAAGCATTTCACTCAGCAAAAACTTTATTTTCCCACTTTTTTCTAAAGTCAGTATGAAAGCATTCACAGGGACCTGGAGATTAAACTTCCTCAGCTGTGATTGTGTGGTCTGAGAAACTGGAGCCTGGGCAGTTTTCAATGCTGAGAGTAGCAGCACAGGCGATGCTGTAGCCTGGAAGAGGTAGAAGGAACTCACAGAAATCACAGAATTTCTAGGTTGGAAGAGACCTCAAGATCATCGAGTCCAACCTCTAACCTAACACTAACAGTCCCCACTAAACCATATCCCTAAGCTCTACATCTAAACGTCTTTTGAAGACTTCCAGGGATGGTGACTCCACCACCTCCCTGGGCAGCCCATTCCAGTGCCTAACAACCCTTTCAGTAAAGAAATTCTTCCTAACATCTAACCTAAAACTCCCCTGGCGTAACTTTAGCCCATTCCCCCTCGTCCTGTCACCAGGGACATGGGAGAACAGGCCAACCCCCACCTCTCTACAGCCTCCTTTAATGTACTTATACAGAGCAATAAGGTCACCCCTGAGCCTCCTCTTCTCTAGGCTGAACAAGCCCAGCTCCTTCAGCCGCTCCTCATAGGACTTGCTCTCCAGGCCCCTCACCAGCTTCGTCGCCCTTCTTTGGACCCGCTCAAGCACCTCGATGTCCTTCTTGTAGCGAGGGGCCCAAAACTGAACACAGTACTCGAGGTGCGGCCTCACCAGAGCCGAGTACAGGGGGACGATCACCTCCCTAGCCCTGCTGGTCACAGTGTTTCTGATACAACTCAATGTTTGCTGTGTTCTGACCCATCAGGATCCAAACTTTTTCTTGCTTTGCCTGCAGAAGTCTCTTGAGTTCCAAAACTGAGGGAACAAAAGCTGATTTTCATCCTCTGGATAAATTTTCTGATTTTAAAAAAGCTCATTTCCAATGTGATTAATTTTAAGAATACACTCAACTCCCATTGCATTCAGGGGGGGCTAAGAGCATAGTCATGGCTTTCTGGATTAAAAAAAAAAAAAAAAAAGGACTTTACCACCCCCTAAGAGCTGTGATTTACAGTTTTGTTTGTTAAACTACAGGATTTCCCACAATCTCACTGCCAATCTCAGTCCAAGTTCAATGAGCACCAAATTAGGCAGTGTTTGCATGCAGTGGTGCACACACTGCTCAGTGACTGTACACAAGCTTCTGCTATATTTGCCAGCTATGAATCATACTCCAAAGTGGATACTTGGTTCATCACACTTATTGTGCTGGCAGGTTACTGTTGCTGGAGTAGGGTAGTATTTCTTATAGATGATTAAAATGATGAATGAGTTAGAAGAACCAGAAACTGGACTGGGAGCTGAAGTCCTGTACTCAAAGCTTATGGGATTATATTTATTGGGATGTAACTCATGAAAGACAGGGGCTCTTTGCAGTACACGGGGGGAAGAAGCTCATCTATCTCAGGTGTGAAGGTCCATAAAGCAACAGGTAACAAATCACCGGCAGAATTGTTGGTGGACAGATGGGCAACATGCACCAGCCTGCATCCACCATCCACAGAGTGTCTGTCCTTAATGGTCTCTGTCTACAAATCTGGCCTTTATTGCTCTTAACGTTATTCATAGAAGAGAGTATGCAAGCTGTGCTGATGTGTAATTTAGAGGTTCACAAGTGTAATACACACCTGGCTTGGGTTGCAAAACTATGGCATTTATTCCCAGTATATAAGGAGTGGCACTTGATATCCTTTCAATTAAAGGAATACTTGTACATAGCCCAGAATCTTATTATGCAATTCAGAGCTTCTTAATCCTCTCTAAATTCTTTTTTTTTTTTTTTCCTGTCTTCTTCCAAAAATTGTTTTAGTCTTCTTTCTTATATTTTTTGCTTTAATTTTCAGTTTTATTCATTTTTATTCTAATTAAGCTCTGAAAAGCCTTTCTTCATATTATATTCAGATTGATAATTAGTTTGAAGGCATGCGTCAGCCTTCGTTATAGAGGAGTTTTTATAAAAAAAAATAAATTAAATATTGCTACCTTCTCACTCCTGAGAAGCCTGTAATCCAACTTCCACAAATAACAAGGAATAAGCTATTAGTCCTGATTTTATGTCTTTTAAGCTTTGGTCTGAGACCAAAGAAGATATATAGATTTATATAGTCAAACAGAATTAGATTTATATTAGTCAAACACTGACACACATTTAATGGAAAACAAGGGTAATTCTAATAATAATCACTTAATCTATGACAGTTAATACTGACTTCCTTTCTTCCTTCTATTCCAGAGTCAAAGATGGGAAATCCAAGAACACAAAAAATTTTCTCCCAGTGTATTAGCGCTAGTGTCAGGTTATTTGACCTTCCCACTATCTCTGGACAGATTCCCCCAAACACAGTAGGACAGGAATAGACCCTTGACAAGAATGCTAAATTAAGTAATCCAGCAGCCTTGCACGTAGTGTTTCAGATATTTGTTTGTATTTATTTATTACCTTACCAGAGCTCGTTAGAAGACTCTTACCAAGGGCAAAACTGAAGCTGGTCATGTCCGTGTAGGGAGGCCTATGTGAACACTGATTCAGTGGGGCTGTATAAAGTCCTACAGAGCATTAGTCAATGCCTACCACGTTTTAAATCCCTTTATATGCTGCCATGCACGCAGTTCCAATTGGCTCTCTCATAAGTGAAACTCCTTGCAGACATATAATGAGGATTTGGTATTTTCTTAATAGAAAGTACTAATACTGAAACAGACGGTAGAAGAGGGGGAAAGTATCAAGAGAGATTATTGAGTTTTTATCTTGCAATCTGCCAATAATCGTGAACTGGTGCCCTGGGATGAAGACAATGAAAGAAATCAGAATTAGCAGGTGAGGTCAGGCCTGTGAAAGCAGAGGGGATAAAAGTGCTCCCCCCCCCCAACAAACACACACACTTGACACTTCAGGAATCGATCTATTAGTCAGTTTCTTTAGGGAAAAGCAACAGCAAAAAAACAATTTGCAATTAATTTTCCTCCTAACAAACTTTATAATAGTCATTAATAGCTATTTATTTTGGCAGTTTGATGAAAAAATAGTCCTTGTTTCATATAGTTCCTGTGGTTACTGCTGAGCACCCAGCGGTGCTCCCCAGCACATGTCCTCCAGATGTGCTGTGCTTCTGCTCCACTGAGCAGCCCAAGCACTGGTTGGCACTGGAGCTCCCTTCCAGCACTTTGGTGTTCTCCCAAGGAAGATGAGGGCCTGTACAAAGAAGGAGGAAGATGGGAGAGACCACAAGTTTGGACACCAGCAGGAGCATCCACTTATCAGTATTAATGAAGGCACGTGACTCAGAGGAAGCATACGAAAAATAAACCTGCAGATTTCATCCTTCCCACTGCTAACACAGAGAGTCAGAGCCTGCTATGATCAGGTAGTAAGAAAAGTTGTTTGAAAATAATTATTGCCTAGCCTCTTGAAGGATCAGGGAATAAGACAGAGAAATATGCTGTGGCCCTGAACATACATTTTATAAAAGCCAAACAATATTCTGGCTTCAAAGGATTTGGAATGTGCTGTAAATCCAGAATAGGGTGTATGCGTTTTTCCCTTCGTGAGAAGCAGCTTCTTAAATCCAGTCTGAATGTGAAAAAATGAGTCAAAAATAGGCAGGTTGCTGACTGTTAGAATTAATGAATTCTGATTCCTATGGATTTGTGTTGCCTGATTAAATAACTCTGCCTGAATTCTACCAAGGTTTCCTGTCATCTGCATATACCACTTTCTGCATGCAGCTACAATCTCCTGAGTTAGATATATTGATATATATCGACCCCTGCAACATTTTCTAGCGTAGACAAGCCCCTGGAGTCTGGCACTGCTACACTTATAGAAGAGTCCTGAGCAGTTTGGCTTTACCCAGCCTCTCACAGTTCCCATCAATAGTGATTTCTGAATGCTAGGAACTAAAGCAATCCACAATCCCCTTCTTTCCTCCAATCCCATCAGCCCCAAGCACTGAACAGTCCCCAGACTCACCGGTTAAGGCCCTTATGCAGCCACTGGCTGGTGCCTGGTGTCTTCACAGTTTGAAAGCTGTTTTCTCTCAGGTCACAAATTCACCCCATGTGAATTTGCTCAGGAAGTTGTATGTCTGTGTAAAGCTTTTCCAGTATTTTGAATCTTGAAGTGTTTATAATGCTGCTGGCTGCTGTAGATTCTCTGGTGTTTAATAAACTGCAAACTCCCACTTTTCTCACTTTTTTTTTTTTTTTTTTTTTTTCCCCAGAGAAAACTGAAATGAAACAATGGGAATTCTTAGAAGTGATAACAGAAGGACAGATGTACATGTGTAAACCTGCTACCCACCCCCCAAAGTGAGGATTTCCTCAGGGAACCAGGCTCAAAATGAGAGAAAACATCCTTAAGAAAACCCCCAGTGTTTTACATATCTACAAGAGTCTGCAGTGCCTTGACTACAAAATGGTTGTCTACCTCAAAAGCCAAAGGATTCCTTAGAGATTGAAAGGTATAACATACAGTGAAGGAATTTGTAGTAGTTATCTGGCTCAATACAACATTCAAGCATTTTTTGGCAGAATGAGCTTTCCTATTTCTGCTCTAAAAGCCATCCAAGAGCAGAACAATCCTTTAGCAAATGTCAGCAGCAAAAATATATATTCTGCTTTTTATTAAGCTAGTCTGTGCTAATCTGTTTTAGACACTGGTTTCAAATTCTTTAGCCAGAGTCTTTTTTGTTGTTGAGAATGGGGTGATTTGACATACCAGCTGCAGAAGTGTCTTTTGCATACTCAGACATAGTCTGAATCTCTGCCAGCACTCAAAGAAGGTCCTGCTGAGACTGTGCTACAGAAAACTGCTTCTGAAGCTGGAGAGCTTCTCTTCCACAGCTCGTACAGATGGTTAGGGCTCATCTACTTGACTTGTCAGCACTAGGTACTGTCAGTTGTGCACTCACCTGGAGTTTCCCAAGGATCAGTAAAGCCTGATTGACTACCTGGCTCGTGATTCACAATAGAAGGAAAATTCTTGACTATGTTACCCAACTACCCTCTCATTCCCTTATTTTGATGTGTGTGCATTTTTTTAGGGAAAGGGGTTTTCATGCCAACAGGCACAGTTGGCAGCAGGCTGGAAGCCTCCTCTGCACAGTGCTGGCAGCGAATTAGCTGAAGATCACAGCCTCCACCGAGCCAAGGAGGAGTTCAAAGAGACAAGGACTGCACTCCCTGGGAAGCTGGTGTAGATAAAAAGATGAGGGGTCATGTAGTGTTTGTAGTTTAATAATTTAATTTGGGAGATCTTAGACAAGTTTGTGATGTTTCTTTGTCCAATCCAAGCAGGTTGATAATGGGACATGCCTGGCATTCCCTCCTCAAGTGGCCCATTTGCCCTCTGTGTGATACTGGACAAACCATGAGGGACAAGACTTTTGTGTAGTTCTGAGGTTTGACATCTGTGGCTCTTCATATAGATCAGAGTTTGGCATATTGAAACAACTGCCAGCCTAATAAACCTTACCTACTGTGAACGTGCTAGACTTTACTAGGAGATTCACAGAAATAGCTATATGGTTTGTCTCACAATTTAATACACGAAACAGCCATTACAGCCATTCTAAGCAGTCAATACTGAGAATTTTTTTCCCCAAGATGTCAGCTCAGAGCAATAATTTTGGAAAGAAATGTAAACAATTCTTAGCTTCTGTCAGATTAAAGTGGTTTACACTGTGATACCAAGCTTATCTCAAACGCGCCAAAAAAAGCCAACTGTAATAGTCTGATAGTCTGACTAACTATAACTACTTATATTTTGCAAAATCAGAGATGTTACATCACATCTAAAAAAAAGAAAGCTCATCCTTTTGCTGGCTGCAGTATTCCCTGTGTACTGTTTGTTAGAGACTGAACAAAGGCTTCAGGCATGAAACAAACAGCCAAGAACAGACCTATCTAAATTATGGTACTTTTGAAAAACAAAACAAAACAAGAAATCCCAATAAAATCCAATCCCAATTTTATTAAAATACTTATTTGCATAAAATTTTCATTTCACCTTTAATGCCTATAATTGGAAGACCATGACATATTGCCAAGGCCAGTGTCTATCTCCAGAGTTTGCATGCCATGCAGAATGAGATGCACTATTAGGTAGGGCCACCCAGGCTTGTGTTGTATTCTTCATCTGTGATATGTTAATAGCATATGTCTAGTTAAGAAGTATTGCTCTGTATATGCGAGTTGTAGCCCAACTACAGCAGGGAATTCTGCATATGAAACAATTTGGAAATTTCATATTTTTGGTAATGCTTAGTGCTTATTTTAGAATGGAGAAGCAGCACGTCAATGTGTTTGTTTATCCAAGGTGTGTGTAAGCACCTTGTGCAGGGATGGTTAACCTGTGAATGATTCACAGTTTCCCAGTAGATCAAGAGCAGAGGCTGTATTTTTTTTTTGTTGTTGTTGTTGTCACCTGTTGCTACATGCCCACAGTATCAGGAAAGTATGCTGATTAGTGGGTTTTCAGAAGAGCCAGAATCTGGCACCCAGTGCATTTCATAGAGAATCCCAAGATGGAAGGAACATACAAGGATAATTGAGTCCAACTCCTATTTCCCAGTTTCAGTGGGAATTTCCTACTCTGCTAGTAGCCATTCTTTGTCCATCACAGTATATGTATCTTTAGTTACCTAAAAGTCCTTCTGCCTCTCCGTTCTGTTGTTTCTTCAAAGTCAGTCATTTTTCATGTCTGGAGACTAAATAGAGAGATTTGGACTTTATATTACAAGCACCCAACAGTCAAATACATGAAAGAATTGAAGTCCCATACAAAATTACTTGACACACACAGATTTTCAAAGATTTTGATTTTAGGGCATTTCCAAAATCCCACGGTTACATACATTGGATTTTAATTTATATTATTTTCTCCTACATAAATCAGAAATAATGCCACTAGGGTCAGTGGAACAGCAAGGATTTAGAATCATCCTTAAAATAATACATATTGAAAGGTTGCATGGAAGCACATTCTTGAGTGCAAATGTAACAGGAATTTGGTACAAACCATTACATAAAACACTCCTTGAGAATCAAACTATTCAGATTACTTCTGTGTCTCCTTTTCTAAAGCTTTGCCTATCAAGCTATATTGGAAATGACTAGATTGATTAGAAGTCTTGGCAGGCATCAGCAGTATATTGTTGAAGGTCTTTTGGAGATCAGCTCATTTTCAGTAATCTTTTCTTTCTCCATGGACCTGAAGGGTCTAGGTTCCATGATATTAAGTAAAGCTAGTGCTTTAAAATAGCTCTTTAAATGTAGTTAATGTCTTATTCCCCAGAAGTTTATGCAAGAAAGTAAAGTAAAAAGATGAAGACAGTCAAGAATTTTCAATGAGAATGGTGGTTTAGCAACCATCATTTTCTGTGAGAAAATATAATTTTCATCAAAAATTTGATGCATCTGGCATCTGACTCTTCAGGAAAAGGGAAAAAACAGAAGCCAAAATGCCCATTTGATGTCTCTTTAAAGAGTATTTTTTTTTCTTTCTTTTTTTTTTTCCCTATGTAAAATTGGAGAGAATTCTGTTTGTTTGGGAAAGGGTTGTTTTGAGTTTTGTTTTTGTGGTTGGTTGTTTTCAATCCCACATTAAAAATGAGATAAAAATTATGTTTTCTGGCCATCACTACTGGCTGACTTCCGTATGTATCTTATTTATTTTGTGATTCTACATTCTTTCTTTTATTGCCAATATAGACACTTCCATTACTGTTGAATACAAACTAAATGAAAATCTGTGGTCCATTGTACATTCCCTTTTCATTGCCTAGGAAACCATGAAAGATTAGCAAGGCAAACTTGTGAAGACACATAATATCCATCATCTGTATGGCTGTGTGAAACTTTATCTCAGGTATTAATGCTTCTATGACAGTAAGACAGTGGATTTTTATATCCAAGGCAAAAGGATGTCAGTAAATCCCTTCTGAAACCGCCAAAGGGAATAGTTCAGGTGATGTGGCCTTGGATCTGGTCTTCATTCCCAGCCTTGCCCCTACTGTGTTGGCCATAGCAAGCCACTGCAACATCCTGTAAGTGATCATATTATCCTAGGCTTCTTTTTAGATAAAACTTTATTCTAAGGGCTATCTGCTGTCCTGTGCCTGCTTTCCCCTAGTGCATGCAGATTCTGATTACAAGCTGAGGTGTCCAGACAGTGCTGCAATATCTGAATGTAATGAAGCACCATGCAAAACCAAACATACTTTTTTCCTCTTGATTTCCTTAAAACCTTCCTCTTCTCTGTAGACATCATCTCACCTAAAGTACAGCCCATCTGACTCAACACAGCCTTCCAAGTCTTGTTGAACTCCTGAAGCCTCTGCCTTTGTTGTACAGAGGACTGGACCAAGCAGGGGTATGTCCTAGAACAGCATTTCCTCTGCCTTGTCTTACACCTGTCTACATTGAAACATGCCATGGGAGCCATTAAAATCTCGTAAGTTGCAGTATCTCCTTTTTAAAGTATAAGAATATGTTACAATTACTGCAAATGCCTAAGGCAGTGAATCCCGAGCTTTTAGCAGCACCCATTGTATGTATGTTTTACAGTCCTTTTTTGCAAACCAAATATTTGATGGAATTATAGTTCTGGCATCATGAAAGGGAATGGTTATCTGTTACTTTTTCAGTGTTTCCCAGCCTGGGGCATCTGTCTGCAGATGACAGCAATAACACAAAGAACTCTTATCCCAGTAACCTGAAGTGCTCTGGATCTCAGACACATTAGAGATTTACATTTACACTTTGTTGGTACCCTCGAAGAAAAGAACTGCAAACTCATCATAATAAAGAGATATGCAAATCCCTCTTTTGTTTTCAAAGAAACCATTTAATTGTCTATTTTTCATCCTCAGATTTTTCCCAGCAGTTTCATTAGCTGACATGACAAAATGCCAGCTCATTTCATATTTAAATATAGGACCAATTTGAAATAATATATCTTTACTTTGGGAGCAAATTCATCTGTTATTATTCTATGAATAATATCCAAAAGAAAGAACTTAAGCCCTTTTCTCCTATTTGCATTATACCGTATAAATGCAGGGTAAGTTGACAGAAAATTTGTAATTTCTGTAATAAAATAAGGTGCTTTTAGTTGTTTTCTTTTTTATTTTCTGCAACTGTAAATGTTTAAAAACAAACAATTATCAGAAAAATTGAAAGAATCCTATAAAGACTAGCAGCAACATTTTCTCCAAGCACCCACATT